AACAAAGGGCTTATAAAATCTCTATCCCGATTCCCAAGGAGTTGAGTTTGAGAAAGCGACGTGTTGCGCAGAACTGTAAGTGACTGTGAAATAATGTCCAGAAGAAATCACAGCAGTCGTTCATATAACCCACCATTGCCCTGTGACTTAACAAGTTCAAGGTGAATAAGTTATTAAAGATCACCTTCCTTTGTCGCAAGCACTGCTCCTTTGGCTGGTATCTTAGCAGTGTGATCACGAGCAGTTTATCAGGATACCCGTGCAACAGTAATGGGTAACACAACTACTACGCTTTCTTGTTAAAACTATCATTTTGATCATGTACAGCAATCGCCCAAGCAACCCAAAAAGGGGAAATAAGGGCGAAGAAAGGGGAAATAAAGGGGAAAACGCTCCAGAATGTCGCCTTTTTCACCTGTTTAGGGGAAATAATGCGGATCTTCCCCTTTTTCGCCGTTTTGTCGACAAATTACCGACTTATCGCCTAAATATCCGCCGAATTGTCGAATTTTCGCCTAAATATCCGCTGAATTGCCTACTTTTCGCCTAAATACACACATAACCCCCTATTTTCCATCCATTGACAGAACCCCAAAGGTCTCCTATGTTCGCCTTTATTTTCAACAACAGACCAAAATATATCTGCAATGCAGTGGGGAAGCGGTACATTTTTGAAAAATTTTATTTAAAAGGAAAAGCGTATTATTGTACAACACTAGAGCCGAAACTTAAGCATCGATTGTTTTGCATATCCAATGCAATTGCTAATTCATTGTTACTTGAAATTATCTGAAAAAGAAGGAACAGGTGATGTTTTATTTATAAGGAATGTGTATTTAACCAAAAGTTAACTGACACTCGAACACACATTCTCAACACTTCAACAGTTTCCCATGTAAAAAAAAACAGTAAGCTGTTTGAAAAAATAATGTTTATTGAAATCTAGGTAGAACATCAAAATAATTGCACGGACTTTTCCTTTAAGCCACGTTCGTTCGGCTATTGAGAATTGAGGTAGTCGTCCTGTGAATGCTGAAAAAGTCACAACCACATCTCAATGACATGCTTTGGCACAGCCAAATACTTGAAGCTGAACTTACGGTTATGTTCGTTAATATTGTTGACTGTAACTATTGAGCCGTAGGAAGGCCATCGTTTTAAATTAGTACATACCTGGTCTTGCTTTCTTCTATTACGCTTTGTCATCTTGTCTCGGATATCGTGAAAAAAACCTTGTGTCGCGATGTCATAGAGCTTACCAAGGTCTTTTCTTTGACAGAGGATGACAGAAAGCGATGAGTTAAGGCACCTGAAGTTTAAGTAATAGATATAGGTTACTTCGTATGCAGCCGTAAAACGTGCATTTCTGAAGTGCTCGTTTTGAAGAGGTGCCAAGTAACGTGAATTTACTGGCAACCTCAGGTGTCAACAGATGCGACAGAACAAACCGCATCGACGTTTTTGGATAGTCACTTGATAACCTAGTGACCATTGCCATCTGTAATAGTAACAAATTATTAAATTCATGTTAATGACTTACAAATCTGTCCCTGGTTTCTTTCTGCGACAAACCAGTATCCAGCATCTGTAGTTCCTCTTCAGATGACAAAGGGAAGTGCTGACTCGACAGTCCGCAATCGAATTGATGCGGTCTTTCGCGCTCATTAGACGTGCCTCTTGTTAGCGGGCTGAAAATAACATTTACAGCCAAGTATGCAGCTCAACGTATCTTAGCAGATTAGTTTTCAATCCTAGATGGTAGTAAGCCCCACTGCCGATGAACTTTGGTTGAACACTTGGACAAGTCTTCAGAACACCTCTGATGCTTTTCGGTATGTCCGGGATAAGAAATCGTGGACCATACAGAACCCGATCAACATCTCTTATGCTCAGAGATGCATTTGACATTATGTACATCATGAAGTCGTTCATCAGTTTTTTGCGATTCACGATCTTTTGAGAGCACAAGTTCACTTCACTACATCCTATAAGAACTATATTCACGTATGAATTTAATGTACATACCACTATTATCTGAAAGCCTCTGATTGATGTTGCTAGTGGACGGTGTATTAGTTGAAGTACTTTCATTACAACTGATTTCTCTATTTACTTCTATCAATTTAATAAACAACATTGTTGAACTCAGTTACCTTTTAGGGTGCTTTCATTAGCAAACTCACTGAACGAAAGAAGGTCATATTTTTTCATGAAAGCAGCTCTCATTTTATTTCACCTTCTGTTATAAGTGGATCTATGACAGCCAAGGGAACGTGACAATTTCAAAGTGGCCCTATGTCTACGAACATTCTCACTGACTTCAATAGAACTCATAATATTGGCCTTACAAGGTAATCAGTTACAATGAACATGAAAATCTGAGAGCACGTCACTCACCTGAATCACGTAAGTTTTTGTGATGGCTTCAAAGCACGTCGGAACACTTTAGCTTAACAACAAACGAAGTCAGTTTATATGCGTATCAACCGAATGCCTGGTTCCGTATTTTGTACCTTGTTTTTATGACAATACTTTTGTTTTTTTATTAAGCGGTGCCTTAATTTGTCGAAGTTTATGAGAACTTCAGTTCTGGATGCGGTTCATTCAAACACTGTACGTTACGTATAATTGTCGACAAATTTCCCCCAAATACACGACGTAAGGGGGAAAAAGCGACATTTCCCCTAAATAACCGACGTAAAGGCGAAAAAGCGACAATTCCCCTTTATTTACGCTTTCGTCCGCTTTATTTCCCCTTTCTTCGCTTTTATTTCCCCTTTTTGTGTTGCTTGGGCGTATACCGAATGCCTTTCGTAAACAGTGCGGAATCTAGATGAAATAATTCACGAATCGCTGTTAAGCACAAGTCCTAAGCATGTTTTTTAAGCTATAGCAGCTTTCGGATTTATTTGTTGATTTGTGGAGGGAAATTTGATTGATAGCTTACGTGTTCAGCATGGGATGATTGGTAATGTTACGGCTGGTTGATTCCCTTTTGCTAGAATTTTCACAAGTCTTTTCCAGCAGAATCCTAAAAAATGAACCACATTTTTGCAATATGCTTCATATGAACGACAGTCTAATATAAGGTGCCTTGTAACCTTGTAGTTTTGTCATGGCAACTCCACGTTATTGAATAAGGTTTATTGCCTTAGTAGCATAGATAAGTGCACCAGTACTAACCTAGGTCATATCTCACAGGTGTAACTTCTGTCAGGTTTCAAACCCTACTGACACTATGGGAAATCTCGGACATTTGATCCCATTTATTTCCTCCTGTACAGTAGCCACATTCGGTTTGCGAGGAAGCTGGTCGGAATGTGGTGGATTATCGTACTGGAAAATGAACAAATGAGGTGTCTATGAGTGAAAGCAACGTTCTCCAGAAACCTCAACACAAGTTTAGTAACGGTAGGTAATGCCAATTCAGTCTTCTCATATCATGGGACAGCTGGAAAACCTCCTAGGACCAAAAGATACCAGTTCACATAATATCTCTTAATTTCAGGGAAGTCTTTGGCACAGCACCTCATATACTTCTCTTACCAAAAATTGCAGAGATTGGCTTTACTGACCCAATCTTATCCTGACATCGAAATTACCTAGAGAAAAGAACGCTCCGTACCAAAGTAAAGAGAATGCAAGCACGTTAGTGAGTCTCAAAATGTTAGGTCCACTCCCGCTCTTGATCTTTAATGATGACCTGTTAGATGAAATTAACTCAGCGGCAGTATTCCATGCAAACGACGCGAAAATCAGGTCTGTAAAATACGAAAGGATTCACGTAAACCTCAAAAGGACCTTACGATAATCGAGGAGTGGACATTTAACAATGGGTTAAGACGTCAATCTTCGAAATATTATGTTATCACAGTTCTGTCTCATTTGAGATGAAGCATCTACACATCCAATCGAAATTCTATTCCGATTGTCTCCTTAGAGTGTGATCTTGAGCTTGCGATTAGGAAGAGCTTAAACACCAGCTTGAACAACATAGGTGATCCAGTCAAGGCTGGTTCATCCTTCCACTTTGACCGTGAACAACGTGGTGCAGTCACCCTAGAGTCATTCCTCACACTGTTCAAAACACATGCACAGACTTATCTTAACGTCCAGAATGTCGATGCACCTCCTCTCTTCAAAAGAGACATAATTCTTCAGATCATGTGCTGGGACAGGCAACCGACTGGGGGATAGGGCTATGATATAAATCGTACGAGGGTAGAATCTAACACTGGGGATTATTCTCGCTGAGCCTTAGGAGAATAAGAGGTGATCTTATGATAACATACAACATATTGAGTACGACAAACCACCCCAAAACGAACATACTGGCAAAACATCAACACTAAACGTTAAAAGGATTGCACATCGAGGAGCTCCTACTTTTTCTTACTAAAAGTATCACTCATTTGGAATGCTTTCCCTCCCGAATTGACAAACACATACTCACCCATGGATTAACATATCCCTCTTGGACAGCTGTGTCTGATGCGTATCTCATAATTAACCATATTTATCATTGCCGCACGTCAGGAACCGCTTACCAACTCGCTTATTGTCATCTCCATTTCAACTGTTATTCTTCTGATTCAGTCTTCCCACGATGTCTGTATCATTAATTAATTAACTTATGTTTTGTTCGTGAGACAAGGGTCTTCTCTTAGCACTGGAATTACCACTTTATTATTTTAAAACTGTAACTGACCAAACCTTTTGCCTATCAGTGTGATAGAGGATGGAACCCATAAACCCTACTTCCCATGAGGTGAATGCACTCACTCAAATTACAAGATATATCAATTCACAAATGACTACCACACTGACTAGAATTAGTGCAGTCAAGTGGTTAGAATAACCTCAGTGGACGTTGCCAAATGCCTGGAGTCTTACTGAAACAGTAAGAAATGAGCGCAAACAGATCAGTTGGTTATACGAGCTCATGAAAAAGATATTAGATATTGGATTGAAGGCTTGCTTCATTGCGCATTTTTCGTATAGCTCGTTACAGTAAGTGGTGCTCGCGGCGACTCACTCCGCCAAACCCAAAGTATCTGCATTAGTCGCAGTATGTAAAACGTCACTCAAAAACCAAGCTGCTCATAGAAATGTGCGAACTTGCAATATATTGATCAGTGATATCCATCAGTATATTTGAACCCAGGAATAGAAACGGATTGAAACGAGGCACATGGGGCCGAATTTTGCGAAGAACCCCATTTTTAATACAGTCGGTCTCATGTTTTGCGTGTGGTTTTTTTCACCTTATTGGTTCAGGACACCATATTTTACTGATTAGAGTACTAATTTTTACCATTCCCTTTACTACCTTGGGCGCATGGCAGGTTATTGTATTTTATGTATTGAAGTACATTTCGAGTAGTAATAGTTCAAAGCATTTTATCCAGGCCAACAGCCATTTCTAATGGTCGTTTTCAATACAACGAGTTCAAAAAAGTTCCATGTTCCCATTTGAAAATGTAAGAGTAGAGCTTTTTGATGGTCAACGTACTTCTTTGCACACCTTTCAGATAGTCATAAAACTGGTTGAATAACATGGTCACACGTAGGCATTAGATCTTGGAATACAACCAAAGTTGATTGTCAGTAAACATACTTGTGAGCAAAAACAGGACGAACACCAAATATTTGATCAATGAATTTAAGTTCAGGTCTAGAAACAGTCTGGTTTTCTCTTATTTGGTTCTCGGGACTTCGTCAAGGATTATGCAACTACTGAAGTCAATATTCTTGGTTTGAAATTGGTTGCTCCAATTCTTTTACTGTTATGACGACAGAACAACCTCTTTAATCTAAACTATCTGTGATCGTGACCAGCTTGGTGGAATTGTTCTTCCACTCAGCTTTTTGTCAATTGTAACCGTAACAAATTTGGACGGCCGGTTTTCGTTTCTAGCTATAATAGTAGTTATTTCTCCTTGGGTTCTGATATACAGTGATTAATCACCCAGTTTTATCCTTTTTAGATGGATATTATCAAAGAAAATTTAAATAACATCACAGATATTAGTTTCAAGAAACCTGAAGGGAAACTCAAAACTTTAAACTTAATTCCTAACAGTGTACATCTTGTGGTAATAAGCAAATTATCCATCCCAAAAATTATTCGTGTAAACTTACCACATCGTCCAAAAAATCTATCTATCTGTTTGATAGTTAAAGATTTTCGCAAAGATGATTATGAACGCACTACAGAATCTTGGAAACGGCGTTGGAACATGGATTTGAAAAAGTCCGAACTTTCTCACTTAGACGCACCTGAAGTGACATTTTTACCTCTGCGGGAACTAAAAGTAGCTTACCAAACTTTTGCTGCCAAACGTCGACTGGCTGCCACTTTTGATATATTTCTTGCCGACAAACGAATTGTTCATCGTTTACAAAATAAACTGGGTAAAGCGTTCTACCAGGAGGTTTCAGGGAAATTTCCTATCCCAACGTCATTTTCGAACAATAATCTTGTAGATACTGTCCGACGGCAACTACATACATCTTTGTTCGTAATTCGAGGCAATGGGACAACCGATAGTCTCATAATTGGGGATGATCTTTTCTCTTCATTCGAGCTAAAGGAGAATGTAATATCAGTTGTAAGTAATTTTTAGATTTCTGTTCTAAATTTCAAGTCCTAAATGTTTGAAGTAAATATAATGACACGCCTTGTTGCTTGCTTGTCGTATCTGTATACTGCTTGAAATGACTAGATTTTTGAAGTAATAACAAATAATAATCCTGTTTGTTTCCAGATATGTAGGTACTCACGAAAGCCTTACTATTTTACACGTTAATTTCTGTATTCCTTTCTTAAGTGACCAACGTATTGTTACTTAAAGATCACTGAATAACTGGTATTTATTTGTTCGTCTTAACGAAGATGTTGCATACCAAAAAACAGTAAACGAACCTACATAATGAGTAGGGGGGTCAAAATAATTTCCTTCATAAAGTTCCATATGTGAACTGGAACAGCTCACTGTTTATGGGGTCTTTAATTCGGTGCAACTCAGTCATTCGGTCACCCCAACCAAGACAACTAAAGTAATCAGACGTTACAAAAGCTTTTGCGGTGAACAAATTTCAGGTTACCAGTACCGGTTAGAACGACTCAACGTATATTTAGCGTTAAATAAGATGCCTTATGGGCTGGGGTCAAAATCATATTAGTTGATTTTGTCCACAAATTATAATGGCTTTTTTTACGCCGTAGTACAACTCAGTAGTCTTACATTTTATCAATCATTTATTTATTTATTTGAACACAAACGTTAGTACAAGGGGGCACCAAATACATATGCCCCACACAATAACGATGAGTTTGTGAATAGATAAAGTGCGTATAATAAAAAAGAACAACAACAAACAGAAATTAGTGTATTAGAGTGAATTAATAATAATAATACTAATGGGAGAAGCAGTTCAGTTAACAAAAGTATAACCAGAAAGTATTCTTTCAATCAAAAAAGTTGCGTTCATTTTTATGGAAGTAAAAGAAAGTTACGGCAGCATCGACACTAGCTTTTATTCTGAGCCATATCTAATAACGTCTCTAGCTACTGTGTTGCACCATCTCTAGAAACCCAATCACGGAGTCGTAAAGGTCCAATAGAAGCCAGTCCTATACAGCTTTTTTTCGTACCGTGACATCATGTCATACACTGACCGCCTCCTCACTTTTTTCAACCAGTTCCAGTGTCGGCAAATAATGCACGACATGAAGTTCTCTGGGACAACATTCGTGGGACATATTTAAGGCACCAAAGTCAATGTCTCAGAATAATGACTAATTGAATTATCGTCGCTGTGCCTGAACACACAATGTCGAACCTCTGCATTACTAAAATGGTGTTGCCACTGGATGCCAGCAATCCTTCGGAGACAACGGTGATCAAACACAGATAGTCGTCCAACATACTCAACTCAGAAGAGCCATGTTTCACAAACATAGAGCAAAACTGCTCTCACCGACGCGTTGTAGACCTGACATTTTACAGCTAGACTGGCATCACGAAGGCGCCAAAGATGGTCCAGATTGGCATAAGCCGCTCTGGCTTTCACCATACACGAATTGATCTCATCACTCGCACCACCACCAGCACTTATGCAACAACCAGCTTCATGAACTTCTCGACTACTTCTCTGTGCTCACTACCCAGGGTGAGTGTGGGTTCAGGGTCCTGCCAGTCTTGATAAAGTACTTTGCACTTAAAAGGTGCAAAGCACATACCATACCTACGGACATTAATATGCCAACTGATTAGGTGCGGATGGCATGGTTTGGGTATAATCGCACAGTAAGACGATATCATCTGCATACTCAAGGTTGAGAGGTTTCTCCAGGCAACAGATCCACACCAACACTACCTACATCCACCAAAGCCGTTCCAGAACGTCATCGGTAGCAAAGTTGTAGAGGAATGGTGAGATTGGGCAACCCTGTCTAACCCCACTGCTTGAATGGAACAGTAAAGAGAGGTGGTTGTATGCCCTCACTCTGCCTGAGGTGTTTGTATATAGGGCTTTTATGATGTTAATAAACTTCTCAGGCACACCAATCTTCAACAGTCCTGTCCAACGAATAAAAGGCATCCCTAATATCAAGAAACACTACAATTGTTGGCCTTTGATAAGTATGACGGTGTTCTAACATTTGGCGGAGGGTGAAGATATGATCAACACATCCTCGACCAGAACGGAAGCCAACTTGCTCCTCGCGAGTCAATCTTTCTCGGGTTTTGAACAATCTACGAAGTACGATGGAAGTCAATAGTTTGGACTCCGATAGTTGTTGCAGAAACGATGTAAACCCTTTTTAAAGATAGGAACAGCTACTGACTTATTCCATGATGCTGAAACACACTCTAATTGTCAGACCTTTGTAAACAACTCACTCAATTCCTTGATCAGAAAGTCACCACGATCTTTGTAAAAGGCAAGAGGTAAGTCATCTGAGCCTGGTGATTTGTGGCGCTCCAAGAGTTGCAGTTCCTTGTGGAATTCAGTCTTGTTAAGTGGGTCAGTCGTCACAGACCATGGATGGTAGGACAATCTGATCGATGTTGCTGGAGCAGCAGGCCAGTTGAACTGCCGTTCGAAGAATTCTGCCCATCGTCCAAGACGTCGGTGGATGTTAGTGATTGGCATCCCATCATCCTCACAGATTGTCTCACTCACACCAAACTTCTTGCAGCCAGTGGCTCGGATGAGTTGAAAGTTCCCGGCAGTTACCAGATGCGGCTGCTGCTTCCAGCTCATTAGCACGCTCTGACAACCAGGCTTCTCGGTCCTTACGCAAGTTTTGTCCAATTTCATTGCATGATTAGGGTCCAGATAATTACTTCAAAAGGAGCGGCAGGCTTGTACACAACCACGCCAGCGATAGGTGATTGCGATGTGATCAGTCTGAGTCCAGGCTTAAGATGCAGAGGAAGGATGCCAGGTAGCACATCGGCGATGTCTGTGCCGGTATTTAGTGCTAGCCAGAAACAGGTTGTAGTTTGCTAACGGTTTCAGTAGATGGTCACCGTTATCTAACCTGCGACCAACAAGTCCCAATCAGCCATCCAAACGACTTCTGTGCCTAGATGCCCGACCTTTCCATTCAAGTCTTCGGTCAATACAACAATATATGTCGAACACTTTTCGTAGAGGAACACATAATTAGTGGTAGAACTCATCCTTGATTGGATCCGAGCTTCAGTCTGTCGGGGCGTAGGCGTAGATGTTCAAAAAAATTGTTTCGTACACCGACTCACTTTGGTGAAGCTTTCTAGTCTATCAGTGTATAACCAACTGGGAATTCAATTGGTCAGTGCTGCCCCAACTCTAGCGCAACGAACGTGAAGTAAGCTTTTCGAAGCGACAAATGGAGAGTGAATTTGTAGTACTTCGCTAGAGTCCTGAATACGAGTCTCGGATAGACAACAGACATCGATATTAAGACTTCGTAAAGACATAACTAACCCTATCTGTTGTTCGATCTGCATTAATGTGCGGACGTTGAAGGCAGCCAGTTCGAATGGTGCACGGTCTGAGAAAGACTTTCAGTATTCGTAGTCGGTGGTAGCATTCATTTTTCGACCAGTCACTGACTTGGGATCGCCTAGATAGGACAGGGTATCCACCATAGGCGAGCCACTGTATAAGTTGGAAAAGAAAATGTGCAAAATGAGAATAAAGGGGAATACATAAGTGACGTAGTATAAAAGCGATAAGAACGAATATTATCAAATGATTGTGAGTGGAGTTTATCTGAATGCGAGTTGAAGCAAGAATAATTTTTCCGGTAGTAATAATCGTTTGGTTTGTATGAGGGCTGGAATACTGCCCGGGTGCCCAAACCGAAACAGGTGGTTTTCTTAGGAGACCACATTCAAAGCCTTTGATCTAAAGGCCTAATGCACAACGTCAGGAAATGCAATTTCATGGTACCCAGTGACTAATAATAGGTTCGTACGTCTTTTATGCCCTTAGGATCCTGGAGCCCATGTACACCATTGATTTGAAATCAGGGTTTTCCAACTTCCCTAAATGGATCCTCCATATCCACCAACCCGGTTAAAGCGCTGGACATTCGCTTCTCGTCCTCTCAATTTCGTAAACAGAACCTCTGTCACGAAAAGGCAGTGAGTATGACTTCTCTGGCAGTGGTTGTGTACGTGTGTTCATGTGAGAGCATTTAGAGGGAGAGAACTCTTCCCACCCTTGGTTGTGCCAGGGCCGGTTCTTGATTTTTAACAGTTCCTTATCTGATTTCAGCCCACAATGACGAAATGTTTTAAGCTGATAAATTATAGAGGATTTAATAATTGATTCCGACTCAATGTATCACTGGCTAAAAGAACTTTCGTGGGATCATGAAATACTGAGTTTATGAACTACTCAATGAATCACTATCTAAGTTCCCAATAGTTCTATAATCAGTGTGACTATTATGAAAACTAACATTTTTATTGTTTCCATGCAATCACTAATTTAAAACATCAGTCTTTTAAATTTTTTTTTTAATCTTTTTAGTATGAAAAAATCTGTTCAGAATGGCCAGGTGGTGGCATGGCAAATATCCGTTCTATTTACATTCAAAGCTCAGGTATCTCCATTCCTTTGTACTACGATGAAACAGAAGCACCTTTAACTACAATAAGTGAAAAATTATCGAGTCTTCCTAAAGCTGTTCACCGAAGATCTCATACACTTATTAAGAAACTAAAAAACACAGAGGATGGTGCGCCAATCGTTAGTCAACCTAAAAAGTCTCAAAAATCACTTAAAAGATTACCGAAAGAACTCGTTTCACAAATTGCAGATGATCTTCCTTTGACATCAGATGAAGTCGACAAAATTTTACGCAAACGAAACTTCAACGATAGTAGCATCACCCAAATGAAGTTAAAACGAAATAAAAGGATTTCCCGTCATAAATTTGTAAAAATATAGTTCATTCTTGTCAACGTTGCTTTTTCTGTCAGTACAGTTTCTACAATAAATTAGTAGAACAGACATTTACGTTTTTGTAAGGTAATCTCGTCGCACATTTGTAAAAATCAGTTGTTTGATAACACAAGGGTCCCGGGACTTGCACGTGTTCACATTTTGCATAAGATACGTAACAAAAACTCACAGATATTTGCATTTGTTTTTATGAACTGGTTGACTGATAAATCTCCGCTTAGCTATTAAAAAGTAATTTATGTTATTTGTTGCACTTATTATAATCACCAAATGTTAGTTCCTGGTTTGTATTTATCTTCATAGGTATTGGTATCAGCCTACTTTAGATGACAATTATTCAATCGTACTTGTATATTTTACATACCTTTGATGAGGTGACCGGTAGTAAACGTGTAGTAGCTTCGCTCTGTACACCTCTAGACATCTTTAGATTCTTAACAATTGCACATTTCCTGTCTTTGTATGGATCAGGATTGAATGAGAATTTCCCACATTTCTTCTAGCAATCGCATCTTCGCGCAGTTCTTGAGATTGGTCTGTTACTGATGTCTGCTTAAATAAATTCATCCACAATCTTGGATATTTGACCCTTTATTATGTCGTCAACAGTTCTTGAAGCAACTAAGATACCAACCTAGAAATGTATAGGCGATCAGTTGGAAGACATCTTAGATGATAAAAGCTTTACACTGAAAGTTTTTGTACGTTTTCCCAGCAGTCGGATTTTAGAAATACATCTGTTCATTCGGTCGAACTAGTAAAATGTGAGCTAATGATATATTGAGATTATACTATCCAATTTAGTTCATTATTCAGCTGAAAATACTACTCGGTATACTGAATGAATACTTGCTTGCATATTTTGGCTGAATACTATTGACATTTCCTTCAAACACTTATGTTAAACAACTTATCGTTTAATATCGATAACTATCAGATGAGAAAAGGTCTTATTTATTGGTTTGTTTTTCATGACAAAATTAGACCTATGGATTGAAGATTGACATTCAATATCAGCCAGATAAGCATTCGTGGTGGTTTGAATCGCCAAATATTAGAACATTTTTAACATGTTTTATAATACTACAGCATTCCGCATTTAACCTAAAAGTGATTCTCGTCCCTATACTATTGATTATTTATGGAGTAGTATAGATAATATCATGCCACAGTTATTCCTAAAAATTTACCTTCAACTTGTGAATATTGGCAAATATAGCACATAATACACATGCCTAAATTAAGTTTTTTTTTCTGCAAAATATAGACACGAGTAATGTTATAAATTTATTTTAGGTAAAATTACTTTAGAATGACATCGAAAATTTAAGCCACATATAAACTACCAAATATAACAACTTATATATGAGGTCGAAACGTAGGCTGAGATGCATCAGCAAATAGAGATTAAAATAATCGACTATCTGTATTGAATACTGGCTTGTCTGAATGTTTATGATAATTTTAATGAGATGTAAACGAAAGTATCTTGCATATGGTCATATTGTGTGTTATGCATCGGAAAGTATCGTATTTCACTGAATTTTTTCAAGATTTAACGAAGAGTTAAGCGATATCTGTTTAACCTTTTATGAGGTAATACGACTAGATATCTCAATGTTTATAATCAACTTAATTCTTGATAATTCTTAAGGATTTTTCCATTACAAATGTCTATTACATAAATTTCTGTTGAGTAGCCTTCGCTAGGGCTGGTTATATTTTCACTTGACTTTCAATGAATAGACATTATGGACTAAAATAATTGAAGCATATCAGAAAATCAATAAAAGTACATAAACATCTATCTACGAGTAGATATCACTTGTATTTATAAAGCAGAACAAAACATTTGAGTTACATTATTTTACCTGTAATAATTTACAGATTTAATTTATAATTCAGTAATGAAATATTTTACATTCCAGACATATGAAATATTAAAGTCAAAATAAATAAAAAAATTACTAATACATTGTTTTATCACACAAAAAAATCTCTCATCAACCTAACTAATGTCTCTGAAATACTTAACTTGATCTTCAAAGTCAATTGCTCTGCATTTATATGTTCAAGAGAAACGGAACTATTTCTAAATGAAAAAATTACAAGAGTAATATTTTCAACAGAAGCAAAACGAATCTACTATTTTAAATGTATTAATCAGATCAACTATCATGTGAATTACATTTCGCTATTTAATTTGATGTGTCTTCTCACCAAAATCTTTTATTTATCAATCATACAATTTATATTTTGCTTACCGACAATTTCCAACACCACATGAACTAATTCTACTACTATTATTACTATTGCTGTAATGAACGAGAACACCAGTGGGGACAATCTAATGTATTTGAATACGAAATTAAAGAACATCTTAGTAGAATCTGAGAACCATACAGTAAATAATTAATTTGCAAAATGTCAATCAATTGTCTCAAATTTGACTGTTCCTTTTGCAAATGTCAGTCAATCATCTCAGACTCCACGTTCCTTCATTTTCACACCAATCATTCTCTGTTCTCGTTCGCTTTTCTTTAATCTTCTTAACCTTCTGCCTTCAGGTATTTCACTTTCGATTGATCACACATACTACTTATATCTTTCGACATCAGTAGCACACTACATTACTACTACTGCTACTCTTACTAATAATATTGTGAACGAGAACACAGGTGGAGACAACCAACGTATCAAAACCCAACACTACAGAATCTCTTCGTTAAATATGAAAACCATACACTTGAAACTTCATTTGTTACTTTCTGTTGTTTGTCCTTCACATTCCGTATGATTTTCAAGTTCACAATTTCTTCCTATTTTCCCTTCTATTCTCTTCAACATGATCTTAGCCTACTGCTGCCAGGTTTTCCACCTTCAATTGATGTTACATGCTACTTATGTCTGTTGTCGTAAGTAGGATACACAACACTACTACTAATACTACCTATACCAATACTAATTATAGTAGTAATGATAACTACAATATTTTATATTTGCGTCCAGTTGATAAAACTTCAGCATTGTTAATGTGATTAGATTAATAAATAGATAAATATTGGTGAAAGCATTGTTTTTGACTACAAATAGTCAATGTTAAACTAAGAAGTAACAATAATTGAAATTATAAGCAGAGATAGGTGGTAGCATGCAGTAGAATCGTCCTATTTGGGACCCGAAAGATACTTAATTCGAGTTCCCGAATGAACATCAATTCTGGGATGTGGTACATCCAGATGACGAGTCTCAAATAAGATAAGACGCGCGTCCTGGACTCCACTACTTGCCACCATCCGTTTATGCTCATAATGTATATGTTACTTATAGTGACCAGTGTACGTTTGTATAGTGCCAGCCAGCATTATACATAGATAATATAAATGAAACTAAAATTTGAAAAACGAGAATGCAGAATTCGGTGTAAATCGTGAATCAAATAGATTTAAAAGTCCAACAATCTATGCAATTACAAAGTCATTGCGAAGCAACCTCCTTCATTGTCCGACAAAATGACGGGATGGCGAAGGTGGTCCTTTAAGCACATCAACTAGGTGGACCAACTGACGAATTAGGTATGGGAAAACTGTACCCGAATACCGTGGTGTGGCTAAGAATGAGAAGAGTTCGCTCTCCCTCTCGAAATGCTTTCACATAGCCAGTGTTAGACTTTATCCAACCCCAATAGTACTTTGGTTTATATTCATCGTCTTAAGTACTTTATTTCCAAACTCCTGATTAGAATAACACGTCTATGTTTTTCACCATTTTGCTAGTCTGCTACTAAATTATTATGGATTATCATGGAGAAAAAGTTGTGTATATTCACGATCCAACAGTTAAAATAATTGGATTTGAAATCAGCGGTTTAGGTGTCAAACGTTAGCAACGAGATCTGTCGTTTTTAGTCTAGATCCTTGGAGAGATCCTGACTAAAAACCACGAAGAAGTCCAATCATATACTTTTTTACTTTATACCCCATTTAGTCTCAATCCATGATGAACACAATGTAAAAACAAAACTAATCTCTACAAAAAAGTAGAGATATACTCAACACAGTACTTCTTGACAGGTATTCCAATAAAAGGTAAATTTGAACTGATGTTTTTGTTATTCTTAGATAAATGATTACTTGTGAATTAAATGTACTGTTTCCGGCAAAACAATGTTTTAGACAATTTCAAAATCTTATTTTTCAACTAAAAACTATTATTTTTTAAAACTGAAAAATAAATCAAAATACTCTAAAATGGTATAGTGAATGATTCATTAAGTTAAATGTATTGAAGAAATGTTGATATTTTTAAAGCACTTTTTCTTAGGAATTACTACATTAATCAACCAGATAACACTTCGGGTTATGTTATTTTTTCCATACTACATAGACATTGAACATTCGATTCTATTTGATTCGTCAATGTGAATCGATCTAGAGTATTCTTTGGGGTAATCCAATTAGTAATCTTCATAAAGTTAGACACTCAATTTACCGTAATTTGTGTAGGATGTTTGAGTTAACCATAACTTGTTAATCTGACCATTGTTTTCTATTAACTTTAAGGATGTATATATTCAGAAGTAAAGTGATATTTTATCATTAACCAAGAAAATAAACAAGTTTTTTACCATTAATCATGCATACAAATAATGGCATATACACACTAGAACAGTATTCCTGTAAGATGCAGTTATTTATGTAAATAAAATTTTTAAGAGTTATTCGATCTGGCAATAAACATTGGTGATAAAAATTCACCACTATAATAATAAAGATATCGATTAAAGTCCTTGCGTAATTCAATAATTTCAATGACGAGCCAATCCTGAAGTACGAATTACTTACTGGACGATACTAAAGAGCCAACTGCAAACATGAAATGTAGCGTGGTCTACTGATATTGACAGATATAAGTAGTATGTATGATCAATTGAAAGTGAAATGTTTGGCGAAAAAAGGTTAAGAACATCGAAGAAAAGAGAACGAGAACAGAGAATGATCGGTGTAGAAACGAAGGAACAATCAAGTATGAAACAGTTGATTGATATTTCGAAAATGAATTATTTACTGTATGGTTCACAGATTTTACCAAAAGATTCTGTACTTTTGTGTTCAGTTACATCTGGTTCTCCCCACTGGTGTTCTCGCTCACTACAGAAGTTCGTAAAATGTGTTGTTTCTCGGATATAACTTAGTTCTAGGAGTAAGAAAATATGTTCTTATTGATATAATTATTCGGTATCATATAATTAAGTAGAAGACATATGGTACATTTTATTTACAAAACGAAATGATGTAACACTTCTCCTAAAAGACCCAATTATACAGCTGGAATGTTGTGTAATTTCTTTGAGTTATAGAAGTTTAAAACCATTTAAGCAGATCATTTGAAAAGAATTTATGAAATGTATAT